TGAACTTGAAATCTCACGCAAATAATTTAGCGACAATTAAGCGGCAAATTCGCACGGAAAGTATAGTAATTATGGAAATGACAAAGAAAAAATGTAAAAAAAAAAATTTAAAAAAATTGAAAAGTATAATGAAATATGGAGAGCACTCGCGCTAATACGCGCGCGGGACATCAAAGCGTATACGTAACATGAATGTGTGTGAGTGTGTGCGGGTATTTGCGCTTGTAGTAGTTAGCGCATGAAATGCAAAAGTGCAGTTTAATTGCGGCCGAAGTTGTAACTCTGCAACAGGCAAGTACGAGCTGAAGCAGCGCCTAACAACAATAAAACAATAGCAACAAGGGTTATGAAAATTATGCAAAAACACTGAAAATCATTTGAGACACAAAGCAGCAAGCTACACTGCCGAGCCGTTACACATTTATGCGCCAACAACAACAACAATATGCCATGCCACTAATGAAGAAGGTCGTGAAGCACGGACGTCTAACAATTGCATAGTTGAAATATCAAAAATTAACTTAGCAGCCGCGATGGAAATGAGAAGTGGCGCCTCCGCACATAATGCTCGTTAAAATCGTTGTAGTTGTGATTGTGATTGTTTGCTAGTTAATTGCATAGAAGCACTAAAGGATAAACAGACGAGCGCATGCAAAAAAAGCGCGCGGCAGCTGTGGACCAAGCGGCACGCAGGGAAAGCGGTGCGGATGACCAAAGGCCACTGCTTGCTTTCGTATTTATTTTTGTTGCACTTATTTTATTATTTTTGTGTGCTTTTATTTAATAACGAAAAAATGCAAATATAAATAAAAATGAATTTGCAGAGTACACGCGAAACGGGGTCAGCGGCGGGCGCACAGCGGGCGCGGGGGCTGAGGCAATGAAGTGCACACGGCTGGCGGTAGCGGGCAGGCGGTGTGGGTGTGTTATTGTTGGTGGTGTGGTTGTGCGCCACTTCAATTTTGCTGCCACTCGGCACCACGCAGAGCACTCGGCGCTGGGTAGCCCACTTGAATTAACCCTTTTTTGTCTTTTGCTTTCTGTTTTCTGCCCTCTGCCTTCTGCCTTTTGCCAACGCCGTTTTGTTTCTTTATTCGTACTTGCCACATTACCACTTTTTATTGTGTTTGCTTCATTATTGGTGTTGTTGTTGCTGTTGCTGTTGCAGTGATTGTGGGTGCGGCGCTGCAACGTGGCTGTGTGTGTGTGTGTGTGCGCGCGCATTTCTTAACGTTTTTTCTATGCCGCACTTTTTTCTTTAGCCACTTGCGCCTGAAGTGACTATGTTGCAACATTGTTGTGTGTCCTTTGCTGTACAACTTTGCTTTGTTTTTGTTATTTCTTTTGCTTTGTTTGCTGGCAATCTGACTGATGCGGCGCTGCCGGCAGCTTTGAGGAAGTGCTCGCCGTTGCAGATGAAGCACCGAGTGGCTGACTGACGCTTGTGCCGGTGTGCTGCAGCGGCCGAGCGGGCGAGCGAGCGTCTGTCGGGCAGTCAAGTGTCCTTTTTATTATATATTTTATATTATTGCACTTAGATTTTGTTACTTGTTTGCTTTTGCTTTAGCTTTTGTTCTTGCTCTGCCCTAGTACGGCGACACAAATGAACTTAAGCGCTTTGTGTGTCAGCGTGTGGCATGGCGGCGGCGTTATTATTGTTGGAGCCAAGCAGGAAGAACGTTGACAATAACAATTATGAAGAATTACTTAAGTGCACTCGACCACATTTGTTCGCAATAATAACAAGTGGAAGCGACTCAGAACTGCATTACAAGCAAGCGGCTAACAGAGTGTGTTGTGGCGCAAGCTTAAAAGAAGAGGTACAGCGGAAAGTAATCAAAGCGGAATTAGTAATCAAAGTTTAAAAAATGTTACAGCAGACAAAAACTAAAGATTTGCACAGCTGCTTCAGATTATGTAATAGTTTTTAGCTTTGCAAGGCTGCTGCAAATAAAAAATTGATTGATTTGTGGAATCCTGCCAAACTGATCATATTTCGAGGATCTACATAAGGTGTTTATGATGGTTTGAGATCACTGTAAAGTGCTGCAAATAGTTCTGAAAGGTTTCGATTCCGGCTAGAACCCTGTCAAACTTATCAGTTCATCTGCTGAGGCTCTAAAGTGTTTATGATCTCAAAGGTTTCAATTTTCAATGAGGCTCTAAGAGGTTTGTGATCATTTAAGATCACTGAAAAATGATGCAAATGCAACGGAAGGGTTTCAATCTCGGCTATACAGCTTGTGAGCTCCATGTATTCACGTACTTTTCGTATTTTCATTTTCATAAAGTTTTACTTCAAAACTGATAACATTTTTGCAATTATGATCTTTAAGATTATAGTACACACACATATATACACACATCCTTCAGTTACTCACAATTTTCAGTCGCAGTTTTTAAAGCAAGTTGAGAGGCCTAAATTTGCTCAGCAAGCAGCGAATGTGTGTGTTGCTTTTGCAAAATGCGAGCTTTAACGGTGATTGTCCATAAGCTATAAAACAGTTGTGGCCGCTATATAGAGCAGGGGCGAATGTGGTGGCGGCAAGAAAGAGGCCATTTTAATTTAAATGCAAATTAAGTCTTTTGTCATCGTAATCATCAAGCAGAACAACTGCAGCAAGGAGTCTCCGAATAGTCAATAACTATTACATGAAGACATGAGGGGCTTTCATTCACACAGACTATAGAAATGACTATAGAAATGTCAGGTCTTGCATGTGCATGTACATTTATATGGCCGCATGGCAATTACAAATTTATAAAATTTAGTAAAATTCGACAATTTCTAACATAACTTTGCAAAACTGTACGCATTTAAGAGGGCAGGAACATATTTGGAGCAAACACCACGCTAGCTTTGAAGCATGTCATCTTGGTGCGTGATGTCAGCATTGACAAAAGAGTTCTTTTCTGCACTTGGCATGAAACATTCCTTAGGAAAAAATGACAACTGGAGCAGAAGTTGGAAAAAGAGTTGAAAAATATCATTTTGAAGTCAACCGGAATTTCGAACGATGTTAGGCTTCTCATAAAGTGCAAAAGTGTTAAGAAACCAGAGAAAAAATACAAAAATCATGATTTCTGACACATACATGTTATAAATAGGTATTTTTAATACTCTGATATATCTCTCAAATACTTTCTTTACTTCATTTCCTTAGCTTTTATTTCACATTCGTTGTATAAATCTATTTAGTATACGCGTTCGTGAGCCTAAGGCACACACACACCGCCAACATTTTGCAAATAATTCCAGATCCAGCGGAGATACGAAGTGATCCGTGTATTCACGCCCACCGCATAGCGCGAACCGCATGTGCCACCATAGCTGATAACTCCGAGCGCATACATGCGTGACGGTTGGGAGAGTTGCTGCTGTTGCCGCAGTATGACCGGACCGCCGGAGTCATATTGACAGGAGTCCTGCCCCAAGCCCCGGTAATCATGCGTGCAAATGTGCCCGGCGGTGATGGTGGTATTGAACTGGGTTTCGCAAGCGCTATTCTCGACAGTCATAAGCTCGACCTTTTGCAGCGTGTTCGACTTGGGACCTGCGAAGGAAGTTGTGCCCCAGCCGGTTACATCTACAGTGCGGTAGGTGAATAAATCAGAGCTGAAATTGAGACAATGTTAGTTAGGACGATGACTATATTGGACGAGTAAATGTATGAACAAACGATTGCAGTAATGGCAAACAGATGGGTCCAACACCACGTGACCATTCGATGCGGGCTATCGTGATGAGCAAAGCCAAATCGTTGACAACACCGTTAGCCGTCGAGGCATAATTCGGATGTATGATAATCTGCTGGATGCGATGTTGTACAGCAAAAATAGATTCGGTGTCTGAAAAGGGACGGAGAAAAGGCTTTGGTTATGAGCTGATACCTAAATAATAACGGTAATGACCGCAAAGATAATAGCGAAAAATAGGTGAATTTTAAGCAGGCGCTGCCGCTTTCTCGCTCTACTACGCAAAGATCCGTATTGTACGAGCTATATTTTACTCACTGCTGCTTAGATCGTGATCTCCCACATAGGCGATGATCCTTCGTGCATCGGGCTGTACGTTTATGCAATGCGCTGCCGTCATAATGTGCCGATTACTAACTAAAAATCAAATTCCTGTTGAGCATCAAACTTTTCAAACACATTTGAGTGAGCTACATACCAATGCTGCCACCGCAGAAGATCTGTTGAGATGAGCCGATGTCGCGTAAAGCCACCATTGATGGATACTCGTGTTTGGTTGCTTCTTGTCCGTTAGTGATGCGTGTCTGTGTGGTCCAGCCACAATTGCAAGGTTGTCGTTGTGCATATGCCTGGCAGAAGAAGCGACCTTGCTGATTGGTACTCAGCGAGGACGAGTAATAACCCACGGTCATAGGACGAAAATACGAATTGCGCACTATATTTGTATTGGTGCAGTAGGTCTCACCCTCACGGAAGTCCAAATCACCATCACGTGATATATAAAAGTACTCTGTGCCGCATGCGTTTGGGTACTAGATTTGAAATTTTTGAAATGAGTGGGTGGGAAGAATGCGGACACAGAGCGTACTTACCACATCGAAGATGCAGTTTAGCACAACCACATGCGCGTAAGGCGCAATTAAACGAAATCTGCAATTCGTGCCTGGTCTGTAGGCGCCAGGATAATTCGGCGAAGTTATATTGAACACCTGCTGATTGGTGGGCAAATAATAGTCCTGCGTAATGCAACTCATTTGTGTTTTGACGGTAGCCAGCCGGGCCACCAGGGCGAGCACTGAGAGTACAAAGTGCTGAAAATTAACTGATCCTCGCGAAAATACCAATGCCACCATCTCAAGACTTATTGTACACGACGACTGTAGCAAAAGTGTCAACGTCTCTTAGCTGTAGAAAGCAGCTACCCAAAAGACTTCCATATACCCCAATTCCGCGACTTATCTCGTGGTCTACAACCTCACGTCAAAGTTAAAACCCATAAGTCTTAATAAAACAGCCACTTGCACTTCTTGTTTAAAGATATGTACATTATATATAATATATTTATTTACACAATAATTGATATGGATATCTTAACAGTATTAACCCAGTTGTTTTACGCAGGTCGTGTAACCCGTTACTTGCCGAATCCAGTTCAAAAAGTAGGTTATACGCGTATTGACGCCGGTGCCATACGGCTGACCGCAGGCCTGGCCAAAGCTAATACAGCCAACGAGAAACATGCGTGAACTGCGCCACACCACCGGACCGCCCGAGTCATACTGACATGCATCACGGCCTTGGCCAGAGTAGTCCGTAGTGCAGATTTGAGAGGAATAAATTGGCACATTGTACTTTTCCTGACACACAGAATTCTCGACCACCATTAGATTAGCTTTCATTAGTGCATCTGTAGTCGGACCGGCAAAGCTTTCGGTTCCCCAACCGGCAACATCCACGTTTTGGTAAGCAAAGGTCGATGAACTGAAGTAAAATAGGAGAGATGTTTGTGAATGTAGGTATATAAGCGGCTTGGTGGGATCAACTTACCCAGCTGGTGGAAGACAGATCGGACCAACGCCGCGTTCCCATTCAATCAATACTCTGGTTACCAGCACACTGATGTCATTAACGGGCGGATCATCCGTGTAGCCTGGATGCATAGTTATACTTTGAATGCGATAAGCTGCCGCATAACGGGAATTGTTCACTGAGGGAATAAAACAACAAGATAAAATAGAGACTTGCGTTGACAAATAAGGAAGTATTTACATGTCGATATTTGTGTGAAGCCAACGTGCGCTATGATTTGAGAGGCGTCCGGTTGAATCGTAGCGCAGTGAGCGGCGGTGATTATGTGGAAATGCGAGACTAAAGAGAAATAATCAAACAATATAAAGGCAGAAGCAATAATTGTTGCTGAGAACACTCACTAATGGTGCCGCCACAAAAAATGTCCGTGCTAGATGCCAAATTTTGCAGCCCGACCATAAATGGGAACTCATTAGTGCCGACTTCCTGCCCATTGGCGATTTTCGTGGACGTCGACCAACCACATTCGCACTGCTGCGGTCGTATTGTTAACGAACACAGGAATCTGCCTGTATTGCCATAGGAGGCATACGCCAAAGTTAGCTTACGAAATAAGGAGACACGTGTAAATGCGCCTTGGCCGCAGAACTGTTCCGAATCGCGAAGTTGCGGATCGCCTTCGGTGCTCACATAAAAATATTCCGTTGTGCATTGACCGGCATTCTAAATGGAGTGGAAGAAAAATGAATATCACTTGCAGGTTTTGTAAAAAAGCGAGGATTTCTTACACTGGGGAAATCGATGGTGCAATTGGCTTCGATGGTATAGTCCAGAGGTGCAATAATTTGATAGCGGCAAGACGTCCATGGAGGATATGTGTTGGGATAATACGGAGATTGCAAATAGGTGGTGCCGGGGTTTATTTCAAACGTGCTATCGCAGCCCTCAAAGAGCGCTAAGACACCATGGTTGCCACTGAGCAGAATAAGTAGCACGATACTGCAGATTAGCGCTGCAAAAGTGGCAAATGTGCGTAATAACAACTTAAATACCAGAAATGACTTCAACTTGGACAAAAATATGTTTTTGAGTTCAGTAAACTGTTTGCTCTTTGTGTTTATGGTAATCCCCAGACTTATAAAGGTTAATATGAATCAATATATATGCAGTACATGTATTTGTTGGGTTGCTAAAGTGTGAAAACATTCTCAAGCTGGTAAAATATTAACAAAACACATTTTATGCTAAACGAAAAACAGAAATGTGTACTCACAAGTAAATATTTATATGGAGACCTGAAGACATACATGTGTGCTCATAACTGTTATTAAACGAAAGATATAATAGATGATATTTGACATTATTTTTGGGGTAGATAATCAAGGCAAGAGTCCAGTGATTATATTTACTTTAGAATCATGCAAATATTAATTAGAGAATGGAGTCATCTGTAAAAGTTCACGCAAATGATGATACGAAGTTCTCTGATTGGAATTCGCTTGTTAGTACAAACAGCTCACGAGATCCGTTCTTCGACCAAGTATCTTCTAGGTACCCCGAAAACTTCCGTTTGAAGGCGATCTAAAGTGAGAAGCCGAAACATCCCCTTTCCAGGGATACGCGCTGGGTTTGGGACCCGCCTTGTAAAAACACGACCAATGAAACAGCTTCGGATGAGAGATCCTCCTTTTGAAGATGATGGGACATTGATATACTTGACCTTAACACCAGCACCGTTAGTTCTGCTTTCTCCAGACTAGATATGGAAGCAAAGCAAATGGATCTGGCAGTGAACGAGAGCAAGGCGAAATACCTCCTGTTATGAAACAAACAATCGTCCCACTCGCGTCTAGGCACCCACGTCACTGCTGACAGTCATATCTTTAAAGTCGAAGATATTTTCGCCGTCGTTTCGACGTTGCGAGTTTGCGAAAGTTCTGCGAAAGATTTGTGGTCCTTTTCATAATGGCCACGGAGAATGTCGCATTCGATGGAACGATGAGCTGTATGGATACACGACGACATTGACATAGTTCAGCGAATTAAGAGATAGCAGCCATGCTGGCTAGATCAAGTCCTAGTGAAGTATTCGACGCAATACCCGCCGGTGACAGCAGAGAAAGAGGAAGACTTCCACTCCGTTGGAAGGATCAGGTGGAGAAGGACCTGGCGTCGCTTGGTATCACCAATTGGCGCCACTTTGCGAAAAGAAGAAACGACTAACGCGCTGCTCTTAACTCTGCTATAACCGCATAAGACTTTTCTACGCAAGTAAAGAAGAAAAGGAAACCTTAATCGAGTTGTTGGCCTCGATGAAGGAGATCCAATGACCGTCGAAGGAGCACAAGATACTGTTAACAGCGATTCACTATACTAGTCGAAGTTTTATATGGCGCGTTTCCCAGTTTTCATTCCAGAAATGTAATTAGCAGACCTTGTGGATGAACCGCATAGAAGAGCATATGTTTTTTAAGGAAAAAAGTGTCGGCAGCAGCTTAGGAATCGAATGAAACCAGCCTTTTTTAGTACAAATGCTAAGTCGAGGGAAAGGATACCAGAATACTATCTTAAGTAGAATGTTATCTTGATAAGAATCTTAAGAAAGCATTAAAAAATATTGGCTTGATTCGGTCTGAGCTTAGGTAAATTGAAGAAAGTACGCTTTAAAAAAGCATTTTTGTTATGTTTTCAGCCAGTTTCTACCCTCAGTCTTAAGCCTTAAGCGTAACCAGCAACTTTAAGGACCCAGTGTAACTGTAATTGTTGATTCAAAGCGTAAGACTAAAACTGATCTATACCACACTATAGTCTCACTTACTTCTTTTGTGCGACATTTCACTCACTACCGTTACGCCGACAAGAAACAATAACGACTGATCGTCAGGTTGATGAACGTCTAACACACCGTTACTACTACGGTTTTTAGATAAGTATTTCACTAAATCGCATAAAACACACACACAGGTACATATACACTTAAATACGCGTGTTTTCACCTGCGACCGATTCGACTGATAAAGACAACGCAGATAATTTGCAGATAGTATTAAATATTATGCAAATACGATTGTGCTGAATTAAGCGGATAACTGAAACACTTGTTTTGGTGGAAAGTCAACAATAAAAAAACACAACAATTGAAGCATTAAAATTTTGTTGCCTCCGCTACTCGACACAGTTAAGCAAATATATATTCCTTTACAGTTTTTTTTTTGTATTTTTTGTTCTTCTACTAGTTCACAAGAAGACGTTTTCGCGCTTGAAACTTCCTGCTAATAATGTGAGGCGTGTTCGTGATGGTCTGCCTTTCCTTATACTCGTTTGTTATCGCTTGCTTTCGTTGAGTGAGGTGTCAGTGTCAGTGTCACTGTGAGGTTCGACTCGCTTTCGACTGATAAATGAGTTTGGTGGGCCCTTAGCCAATCTACTTAAATGGGCCGAATGCAATTGGTTTTTAAACAGTCAAGCACGAATGCGAAATTCTAATTTAAATGACAATATTTTCCGTACTCACACATTGCGGGGCATTGGCGGGGTGTGTGACCGGGTGGATTTGTACTAATTTTCGTGTTAATTTTTATGCATTTTCAAATAGGCTTCGAGACTTTTTGTATTTTACGTGATGTACACCAGCGACTGTTCATAATTTTATGGCTTTGTGTAATCAGTAATGTTAATTGTTGTTGCATGTATGTATGTATGCATGCTTCTATTTGAACAAATGGCTGGCTGGCTGGCTTGCTGGCTTGCTGGCTTGCTGGCCTAAACGCTTACCTTGTGGGGTTGAGGGCTGGAAATTTGTTGATAAAAAGAATTATGTAATGAATATGTAAACATTCTTGTTTGTATGTTTGTCGAGTGTGCAGCGGCATGTTTTTGAACTTGAACGATTGCGTTGCGAACTCACACACACATAAACAAACGTAAGTGAAAGGGGATATGTTGTTGCATTTTTGTTGCAATGTCATTATGAAAGAAACTGCGCTGAAATGACACGAGCGCTTTTATTGTTCATAAATAATTATTTGGCAATAATATTGTGGAAGTTATTAGCGAAAACTAGATGATCCATCAACTTGCGAGCTCTTTTCCGCAATATTTTAGTCGCCGCCTTTGAAGTATGTGCCGTTAATTAGTTTTCCCTATTTAGTCGTTCTTGCATAATTTTCGAAACCGAAGCTATAAGCTCTTATCACTTAATTGGGCTTAGGCGGAAATTATAAATAATTGTTAATGGCTTTCTAAATGAGGGTACATTGAGTGCAATCACTGTTAGTGCACATATAGACGATAATTTGGATTGCACGTATAGGAAAGCTAACTACCTCAACTTTCTAGTATGCTTTTCAAATTACCTTTTGGCTACGTTACATCTTTGCTATAGCTAAAAGCCTTTTCGCACAGCCAAATCAATTTACTAAATTAGTATTAAAAATTTTTGCTTTTCACACAAAAGGCTACTCTATTAACGAATAGCTCGATTAAAGGTCAGCTGTTTCACTTGCTTCAGTTCAGTTCTTCATTTTACATTTTTTTCAATGAATAAAATCATCAACTCATTGCTATTTCATCAATGAATACAGATTTACAGCCTTGACAAGAACCCGTAGAGTTAAGTGAAGCGAAACTTTTAGCCTTGACAACAACCCTCCAAGGTTAAGCAAAGCTAAATTTACAGCGTGGACAATAACCGTCAGAGCTGCATGCCATTTTTAACTCAACTTAAACTCAATTAAGAATTAATGTTGTAAAATAATAAGGCTTCAGCTATAAAGTGTTTGGTGAACAAGTCCTGCCACCTCTCTAGGAGCTGCCCTCAAGCCTTTACAGGTATTAAAGTTCTTCTAAATTTCATTCTCGAAAAGAAAATTGTATCTTTATAACTCGCGCAATCATTATTCTAATATGATCCAATAATATTCTCCAGAGGAGTATGTAATATTGCTGATCTCATTGAACATCTGCAACCAGTTGCTTACCAGGAACACGCAACTTGAGATTCTTCATTTGGTAGATTTAATATACTAGTCCAACCAACAAATAAATGGCAAAGTGAAGCTATTAAGAAATGAGCTTCTTTCCCGACGAGTTTTGTCACAGAAAATACCTATAAACATACTTCAAATGAATGGACTGTCCATGGGTTAACAACAGACATTCCTATAGAACGCACATTTCGATTTATTTACGGATTTTTTATAAACATATGTACAAACAACTAAATTTCCTCCAACGCCCTACTTTATTTCAAGAGAAAATATGTAAATATTATAAAATATAAATAAGTTCATGATCTTAAATCCAGGCCTAATTAAGCAGCTGTGTGTATAATTTATTAGCATCGTAAATTTTTCCAAAACTCTCTTGGTTTAAACGTGACTGAAAAGACAAAAACATGATAAAGAATTAGAACAGTTGAAGATTTCATTTCTTTTTCGTGTTATAGACTTACGCTTGATCTTTAAATAATCACCACATCATTATTCTTATTGCCTTATCTGTTTGTCAGGATGGTTTCTTAGTTGCCATATTTTTTTGGTAGTGGGAATAATAACAGTTAGCGGTGAAATGGCTAGCAACGAAAAATAAATTGTAGAAATAAAAGCTGCTTTTAGAGCGCTATCTTGACGTACGGAAGGTACTCTGGAAAACCCTGCTGATGGACTTCACATGCGATCTTACAATTTTTTTACGTACCTTATCACATATGTTCTCACATAACTGTGCTACGACTCTGAGTGACGACAGCAACCCTTAGGGTTTTTGACATTGCTAAACATGTCATTGATCTCATCAAAGACTCTTGACCTCGGAAATGGTTTTTGACTTCGTTAAAGGTAAACAAAGGAGTTATCACCTGTAGAGGAGCAAATGTGAACAAAGGGGGTCATTAACCTCAGGTAGTTAACCTTACTAACGAACTAAAAAAACATAATTTTCCTCACCAAAGATCATTCACATCATCCTTACTAAAGGCAAACAAAAGGTACATTGGCCTCAGGATTTTTGACCCCGTTAAATGTAAACAAAGTGTCAATGATCTCAATAGAGCTTGTTGATCACGTTAAAGGCAAGCAAGGAGGTCATTAACCTCAATGAGTTAGAAGGGTTTCAATGAAAACAAAAAAGTCAATGATCTAATGAAAGGTTGTTGACTGCGCTAAAGGCAAACATAAAACATACAAAACACGAAAATCAAGAATTTAACGCCTGTGGATGAATTTTTACTGATTTATACGATATCGCCACAAAATTATGTGCAACTTTTTGGGATCATAATGTGGTCGTATGCTAAAAATGTGGCTGTAACCTCCACGTATCTTACAAGGCTGGGATCGAGAGATTAAACAAAAAACTTTTGCATATACTTTTAAATACTTCTGCAGTTTGTTGTATAACTTATTTAGCCTCTGTGAACATCTTTATTTTGGAACGTCGTTAAAGACATACCGGTTTGTAATGTTACCAAGTATTTGAAAAATATTTCTAATAATCTGTGGATAAAAAGGGAGAAACCATATTAATTGGCTTTACAGATTGATTACACAGATGCTAACAACCGAGTCTGTGTGATTGTTGTCAAGCCGTTGATATGAGTGCGCAAAATACCCTTCACTGAGAGATGCTTAATAGTCCGGAAGCTTCTTTGATTTGTACCGGCTGTCCTTCGAAGACAATGCTTTATTTATAGATCTTATTCCAACGACCCTTTGTAATCTTAAGTAGATTCTAAGTTGGGCTAGTGTTTCTTGTGACACTCCAGCAGTGGAATGTAGGATGCAGGTAGAGGGTTATTATTTCAGATTATGCATTTCATGCTTTCAGTTCCCATCTCTTACAATTTCGTCTCTAATCGAATTAATTAATATTAAATAAAATTTGCGGAATGAAAAAGCCTAATGAAAACATTTGTTCTAAAAGAAAACAAAACAAAAATACCAAAGAAATTGTAGGAGATATGAGAGTAAAAAAGTATTCATCGCAAAATATGAAAAATTAGATTTTCAGTGATAAATTGTAGCTGTCAAGCCTTGGAAAACGAAATGCGTAAAGCGAACAAAAAATCGCCGAAGCACACATAAAAAGCAGACGAAGCATGAAAAAGTGAAGAGGAGTTAGAAATGAAAACCATAAATACATAATAAAGGCAAAATACGAAATGCAAAAGCAATGCTGGAATGGCAAGCGAAGGCCCGATACATGCGCTTGGAAGCAAAATTGCGCCGCCTAAAAGTAGGCAACTATCACGCAGACCAGCGTGTATGCGCGAGTGTAGGTATGTGTGCAATTACTGGCGAGCTTTTATAGCACTCGCACACCACCGCCGCCGCCCGCTGCAGTCACAGCACTAATCACCATTTATGTAAACATTTTTTCTGCGCCACTTTTACTTGCTTTCTTTTGTTCCGCGCTGCCGCTGTGTGTGTGTGTGTGTGTGTGTGTGTGCGCATTCGTGGTTTTTAGTAGAAATTTTTAATTACCCTCCACTGATGCTAACGCCAGTGGCAACAACAACAACAATAACAACAGCAGCAACACCTACATTAGCCACGGCAAAGCTTCTAATACTAATGCACAAACGGGAGGCCAGTGGCGCGGTAAGCGCTGGCTGGTGGTTGGGCGCTGGGTCGCTTATTTCTAGTTGTTGCTGGTCACCACCAACAGTCACACACACCGCTGTTTTTGCTTTGCATATTTTTCTCGCTACTTTGGCATTGTTGTTGGCGTGCTTGTTGCTTTTGTTGGCATTGTGCTTATCAAACAGCCAGTCGGCCTGTTTGGGGATGTGCTTTTGCGGTTACGCCGCTCACACGCAACGCAATACACAGCGCATCAACACACATACACCTGCAACGTTACGTGTGTACTTGCTGCAACGCGCTGCATAATGTAGTAAGTGTAAGCGCACGTGCGCGCGTGTGTGCCGGTCGCGCTGGTGTGGTTGTGCGGCCACACGCACACTACTGCTCCGCCAATCAGCTCAACGCACAAAAATTATGGGCCGCAAGTGTTTTTGCTGTGCCGTAACCGACGCTGGATCGT